CGCCCGGAACCAAAAACTCCCACGGCGCATGCGCAGGACGCGAAAGAAAAGTAGCCCAACAAGGCGAGAAGTAGCCCAACAGGACAAGAGCCCAAGACAGCCCAAACTGCTGGTGACAAAGCTAGCCCAAACGGCTACAAAGGAGCCCAAACGGCTACAAGGAGCCCAAACGGCTACAAGGAGCCCAAAGGAGCCCAAACGGCTACAAAGGAGCCCAAACGGCTACAAAGGAGCCCAAACGGCTACAAAGGAGCCCAAACGGCTACAAAGGAGCCCAAACGGCTACAAAGGAGCCCAAACGGCTACAAAGGAGCCCAAACGGCTACAAAGGAGCCCAAACGGCTACAAAGGAGCCCAAACGGCTACAAAGGAGCCCAAACGGCTACAAGGAGCCCAACCTGGCCAGAACAGAAGGAACCAGTATGGAGGCAAACTCCGGGACAAGCAGGAGGTAAGCCGCAAAGGCCAATCGCACCGCAGGCGAAGAGATGCGGTAAGCCGAAAACCTCCGGAAGACGGAACCGAAGAAATCACAGGGACACGGAACCGAACCCGGGGAGGAGCAGAACCCAAGCCCAAATCGTACGCAGAGAGGGGAAAGAAAACCCCACTCCTCACAACAGTAGGCCCCGCTCAGAAGGACAGAAATCCAGGCGGGGCGCAATGGAGCCCAAGGCCCCCAAGGCCGCTCCTCCCCAACCCCAGGAGCCTCTACACCAGGCCCCGGGGCCGAGTCGACCTCCAAAGCCCCGGCCCCACAAGAAAAAGCCAGGGCAGCCGAGAGAGCTGGAAGAGAAGGGGCCCACTGGCCAGACCCCGGAGCATCGGACGGAGGAACAGACTCGAATGCCTCCGCAGCTACCCTGGATGGGGCAACCCCTGAAACTGCCCAAGTCTCAGAACCTCTAACCCCGCCCCGACCCCGAAGCCTGCAGATGCATAGGGGCCGGAAGCAGGAGGGGGAAAAACAAGGGGGGCGTGGAAGAACCAAGGCCGAAGCGACCAAAACCCCCAAGTCTGGGTCCCTACACAAGCGGGGCAGCATCAGGGTGTCCGGGGAAGCGACAAACCTGAGCACGTTGCAACATCCTACCCTGCAACGCGCGAGCTGCCTGCACCCACGGGAATTCATCAGCAGACTGGGTGAATGGAGTCACGAACAAGCAACCAAGCTCGCAGGACTCAGGGTCGAATGTGTCACCGACCCAACAGGCAGCATGACGGAGGCAAAAACAAGGAGAGTCACCCTGATACAAAGGGACAGAGCAACCCTCAACTCGCACAAAGCGAGAGGGGACGCTGGGGTCTCCACTATCGGACCCGAGAGCCCTGGGGGGGTTTCCCAGGGCCCCTAGACTGGGTCTGCTAAGGGTTATCCCAGGCAGGGCACTGCTAACCGGCGCCCCAAACTACCAAGCAAACTGCTAAAGCTGAACCCACGGGACGTGTCCACCCGTGAGGGCGAAGCGGGGGGTGCCACCACACAAACGAACCTAATATAAGGGGGGGGAGGGCACTAGGCAGACCCCCCTACCAGGCAAACACAAATATAAAAGAAAAACCACACAAATGGACAACGTACCCAGAGGGAACAGAGCCGGCCGCTGTCATAGGTGAAAACTAGCTACGCAGTACCCTGCGCCCCACCAGTGCTATAACTACCACTTACCCCAAGATAAACAAGGGAGTAAAACCCCCAAACCCTCGGGGCGGCCAAACGTCAAGCAGCGAAAAGCCAACAGAAGTAGACCCAAGGTGACTTGTGGAAGGCAACCCCAAGCCCCAAGGGCGGTACAGGTACTTACAGGGCACTCAGGGAAGGTGACCCTAAGCACATGCAGCCCGAGTACCTGAGAATACTACTCCCAGCTCACACGACCACCGTAAGAGCAGCACTGCAAACAAGTCACAGCACTGAGACAAGATCAGAGCTGGAGCCACACGACCGTGCAGTATCCCATCAGCCGAGGAACTGAGGCGGGGATCGCCGGCGTGGGGGTCTGGGGCTCCCCCTTCCCCCTCCCGGGGAGGGGGGAGCTGCGCAGACATGCGGCGCGGCTCGTGTGACGTCATGCTTGTTAGTTTATTTTCCTGGGGGAGTTCTGTCCACTTGCTTGTCGATTTTTGTTGTTAACCAGAATAGGGGTTTGTTTTGTGGCGCTTACCTTTCTGGGTGCCTGTCCCGGTCGATGGCAGATATAGAATGCTCCAAATCACATGTGCATTTCTATGGGCCATTGCTCCCCGTGCCTCTCTGAAGGGGCCAGGTTCTGGCTCGTGGTCCCCGGTAGGCCTAGAACTCCACCCACATCGACTGATGCAAAATAGTTAGGGTATCCATATCAGCCATGGATAGCTCCGGGGAGCTGTAGGGGCTCCCCCCAGAAATGCATTACCATTTTATATACTGTACCTATATATTATTTATTTACTAAAAAATACTGTGCTTTCATCATTGTTGAAATATGTCTATCTTGAATTTTCATAGAGTTATAAATACAGTACAGTAAATACGAACAGTGTTGTCTTATGTCGTTAGCACTGTATTGATTACGTAGCTCTGCTGTATGTTGAGTATTACAATTCAGTTTACGAAAACTATTGTACACTAAAATTACTGCAACTTCAATTTTAACACCTTAACACTATGTACTTGAATTTAACACTTGTTCTAACTGTACACTCCACACACAATGTTCTTAGATGTTTGCATCAGGTTTGCTGGTGCTCGCTGCTGCTGTGTTTGCTTCAGCTGCTTAATGATTCTCTGGCAATTTTCCTGTTCTTAATATTATTCTTATTCTTAAATCTTTCCAACCATTCTTCACTAGCTCAAAAATATGTAATGTTCATCTTTGAACATCAATCACATCATGAAGGGGGGTAGAAATAGCCTAAGCTACTCTATCCTTTTGAGATGTAGTTCTTTCTTGTCTCAATAAACATACTTGAACTTGAATCACATCATCATGGATGGATTGGTGGCTGACTGGTGGGCAGGCATCAGACAGATGGGCCGTGTGGTTAGGCGAGTATTTCGGCGGGGTGGAGTGGATTTGAGCAGGCAGATGGGCGGCTATTTGGAGGGGTAGTGTGGGTGTATGGTTATCTAGACAGTGGTGTGGGTGAGCAGCTATATGGGCAAGCGGTGTGGGTTGGCGGCTATTCGGGCGGGGTGGGTGGATTTGGGCAGGCGGATGGGTGGCTATTTGGGTTGGGCAGTGTGGGAGTTTGGGCAGGAATATGTGCAGCTACTTGGGCAGGCGGTGTGTGTGAGCAGCTATTTTGGTGGGTGGTGTGGGTGGGTGGCTATTCAGGTGGAGCGTGTGAATTTGGGCAGGCGGATGGGCCGGTTTTTGGGCAGGCGGATGGACGGCTAACACCAAGGAACTAGGTTAAACACCCAACAGTAGGCTGAAGTTCAAGCCAGGTCCAGTAACAAATTTCTCAAATATTAGATCTGTATCATATTATATATTTTTGGGTTATATATTTAGTTTAAGAATATTATTAGGATAATAAGAGCTATACAAATACTGTACTTATTTTAGAAATGATTTATAAATTTTATTATTTTGAGGCGTAGGTCCCTGAACTGTAGCCATGAATTCAAACGAACAGCACATGGTGCTGTGTGTACAGTCCACCTGCGATCGAGTCGTTTTGAAAGTTAGAATCAATAACAAATAATTTCTCAAATAACAGATGTCTATCGTATTAGAATATTTTTTATTTTAGTTTATTAATACAATTAGGATAATAAAGAGCTATTAAAACACCTGTTTTAGAAATGATTTATTAATCTGAAACTTTCAAAGTCATGGATCACTGAACTATTACGACACAGACGAAAGTGAGGTTTACAGTACAGTATTCCCTTATTTGTCCACCCTCACTCATCTTGTTTCATCACAGACAATGTATATGAGAAGATTTCCCACACATGTAGCTAGCTACTCACACTTCAGCCTTTAAATTAATTTACAAAGATACTTGTGCCATAAATCAGTGAACGAAAATCATGGTAACTCAGTCGTTCACTTGTGTGGACCACTCTGGCTGGTCTTTGGTTAATATAGTTCACTTGTTGTGTAGACCACTTGTATGATCCAACTTGTCATATGAAGGAATTATTAATTGTAACCTGTGATAGAATGGGAAGTTATCCACCACTCTGTGAAGTCTGTCCCAACATCGTAAGCAAATCCCCCACTTTGGTGAACCTGAGTACGTCGAACCAGGCAAGTAAATTCGGCTTGAAAAGTGTGCGACCTAGTCAGAGATTCACCGAACCGAGGTTGCACTGTAGTATCACAGTGCTAGAGAGATGTTAACTGGGCAAAAGAAAAAGTTCACTGGGGTCTGTGTGTGAACTGCATGTGAACACTGACTGACTTCGCACATGCACTGCACTGAGCTGAACTGTCAGCAATCTGGTAATGATGATGTGATTATCAATTATGACAGCTAATGTATTAAAAATTTTTGAAAGATCATAAGGATCAAAATTAACCATATATTAGCAATAATTATGTAGTAATAAACTTGGAATGAAGGACAAGACATGTTTCACACCATCAGCATGGAACCCCTGCAACCGACATTATAATTGGACCTTCCTCCTAGTGCATCCTATCTTCCACTGTATCGCGTTCCACTTATGAGGAAATACAGTGTGTATATACAATATAGTGTACTGTACAACAAAATTTCTAAATAATGCTTGAAGTATAAGAAGCAATTATGATGTAACTGTGGATGATCTGTTATTGTACAGAAGTAATGAGTCTCCATGTTGTTCTTGAATGAATTAATGGATGTCATTTACAATATAGAGAACTGCATTTAAACTTATTTTCTAATAATTCAATCCTATCTTCTTCAGGCATATGCTTCCCCAGCCTAAGAAAGTGAGAAACTGGTTAATAATAATAAGAATACACACAGATAAAGGTGATAGTGGCACAGGTTTACATTCAACAAGTACAGACAGTACTTACATATTTGTCTTATTCTCTCAGTTAGCGGAGAACTTAAGAGGAAATTCTCGTCTTTACACGAGCGTATCTGCGTGCCAACAAACCCCGTGGAGTCGAGGATTCTCTGTGATTCCTCCCCCAAATTAACTCCACCCATTGCAGCCACATCATTGATGTCATCGTCTGCTGCCCCGCTAGAAGAATAGGAACTGCTGCAATATACAAGAAGAAGCATTAGTACTGCTTAAGTCATGTTGGAAGCCCTTATAAGGGGAGCAGTTGCTCTAAATATAGTTAAATGTACACTTTTAACTATAAACTTTCTGATACATACAAGTAAAATTAAAAATATATACAAGTTTATCAGCAAATTCATTAAGAATTAATCAACTGTTAAGCAGATATCTGTAGCCAACAATCATTTGTCAATGAAAACCAGTGCATCAAAGTTTGTTTATGAATGTAACAGAAAATTGTGGATATAACCCACCACTTGTTTCACTTATTTGACTATCATTTAAGTCAATGTTTAATTAATCTAAATTGAGCCTTTTACAAATGTTTCATTCCATGCCCATGTGAGAGTGATGATCAACTGCACGGTGTATCCAAGCCCTGTATCATCCCAGTAGTCATAAGAACAATCATTAATATGTTTTCATGGTTCCTCACACGTCTCAGAAATTATGCACTTTATGTATTTTATTCGTGCACTGTGGCACCTCCCACGTTTTCAGCTCTTCAATATGCTCAATACTGAAGGTTTGGTTTGATAGTAGCTAAAGTATTTAATAATAATATTTAGGCTGGTGCTTAAGAGAAATGGAAATGAAATGCCTCTTTCTGGGGAGGGAAGGGGTGTGGGGGGGGGGGGGGTGATTTTTGTTAATAAGAGAAACAAGGCACTAAAATCTGGCTATGTTAATCCACAACATCCATTTACGATCAAGATAACTATATGTAGTGCAAAAAATGCAAATATATATATACAGAACATTAATGATGTTTGCTGCTGTAAGACACCACACAATTAGACTTTTTTTTTTTTTTTTTTTTTTTTTTTTTACAAAAAAACAGAACATATGAACCTTATATAAACATAACTAATGGGTTTATAAGGCGATTGTCTTGACAATCGACTTGAGAATGGTCCAGGACGGACTGAAACGTCATCGTCCCCTCACTTTCTAGTTTGTGGTTTGGTTAAGATTAATTTCTTTGAGATATTGAAAAGACAAAGCTATTATATACATTACATTACCCCATTTCCAACTATGACAGGGAGGCATTAGCCCCAGGAAAGAGGTAAACTATAATTAAAGAAGGCCATAGTTGTTAAATAATAAAACTTAAAAAATCTCTCATACATTTACTATATCACTCACTATACAACACAAGGTATAACAGATAAACAAGCACTACCACACTACAGCAGTCAGCCAAAGCAGCATCTTCCAACTACACAAAACCATGTGAACAATGTTCTTTGTGAATTGTCACATATACTATATGCAAGATGACTTGATAATGCTCCAGGACGGACCAAAATGTCGTCGTCTCTTCATCTTCTGGTGTTTGGTTTGTACATCATACTTTCAGTCAAATTATTGTGACTCGTCATTTGCATACTATATACAGTATAAATATATTTACCCTTTCCTACAAACAGCTTCTGCCCAATCTGTTTCCTTAGCATAACCAGTGTGTTGTCCACACACACACACACACAACACACACACAACACACACACAACACACACACAGCATTTCTCTTCAACTGATTTTTCAGGCATCCCTGTTTACAGGAGTTGTAGCTGATGTGTGGAAAAAGGCTAACATAGTTCCAATCTACAAAAGTGGAAGCAGGGAAGACCCCCTTAATTATAGACCGGTGTCATTGACAAGTGTAATAGTCAAAATATTGGAAAAAATAATTAAAACTAAATGTGTAGAACACCTGGAGAGAAATGATATAATATCAGACAGACAGTATGGTTTTCGATCTGGAAGATCCTGTGCATCGAATTTACTCAGTTTCTATGATCGAGCAGCAGAGATATTACAGGAAAGAGATGGTTGGGTTGACTGCATCTACAGTATCTGGACCTAAAAAAGGCTTTCGACAGAGTTCCACATAAGAGGTTGTTCTGGAAACTGGAAAATATTGGAGGGGTGACGGGTACGCTTCTAACATGGATGAAAAATTTTCTGACTGATAGAAAAATGAGGGCATTGATCAGAGGCAATGTATCGGACTGGAGAAATGTCACAAGTGGAGTACCACAGGGTTCATTTCTTGCACCAGTGATGTTTATTGTCTACATAAATGATCTACCAGTTGGTATACAGAATTATATGAACATGTTTGCTGATGATGCTAAGATAATAGGAAGGATAAGAAACTTAGATGATTGTCATGCCCTTCAAGACGACCTGGACAAAATAAGTATCTGGAGCACCACTTGGCAAATGGAATTTAATGTTAATAAACGCCATGTTATGGAATGTGGAATAGGAGAACATAGACCCCACACAACCTATATATTATGGGAGAAATCTTTAAAGAATTCTGATAAAGAAAGAGTTCTAGGGGTGGTTCTAGATAGAAAACTATCACCTAAGGACCACATAAAGAATATTGTGCGAGGAGCCTATGTCACGCTTTCTAACTTCATAATTGCTTTTAAATACGTGGATGGCGATATACTAAAGAACTTGTTCACAACTTTTGTTAGGCCAAAGCTAGAATATGCAGCGGTTGTGTGGTGCCCATATCTTAAGAAGCACATCAACAAACTGGAAAAGGTGCAAAGACATGCTACTAAGTGGCTCCCAGAACTGAAGGGCAAGAGCTACGAGAGGTTAGAGGCATTAAATATGCCAAATTAGAAGACAGAAGAAAAAAGAGGTGATATGATCACTACATACAAAATAGTAACCGGAATTGATAAAATCGATAGGGAAGATTTCCTGAGACCTGGAACTTTAAGAACAAGGTCATAGATATAAACTAGCTAAACACAGATGCCGAAGAAATATAAGAAAATTCACTTTCGCAAACAGTGGTAGACGGTTGGAACAAGTTAGGTGAGAAGGTGGTGGAGGCCAAGACCGTCAGTAGTTTCAAAGCGTTATATGACAGTGCTGGGAAGACGGGACACCACGAGCGTAGCTCATCCTGTAACTACACTTAGGTAATTACACTTAGGTAATTACACACACACACACACACACACTTGTCATGTTCACCAATCTTTCCTTCTTTCTATCCCTTAATTTACTTGAATACATGCTTTTCATCGGTGTGTAAATCATTCATTTGTTCAACGTGCTCAAACCATCTCAATATACTGTCCTTTACCTTGCAATTTATTGACTCTTATGGTCTACATTTCTTACACCCACATTTGTTGCATAGTTTCATCTATTCTTTTTACACCAAACACGATTCTCAGATTTTGCTTTAATATTGCTCCATTTATTGATCTTTCATATTCATACAACACAAGAATCTTTTGTTAGTACCTAAGGATCGGAACTAACACTCCTTTAACCTCCCCTATCTTGTTTTTTTAGCCATTTTCCATCCTGAATCACTATGTTCAAGTTAATACACGAGGAGCAATGGCCTACAGAATAGCACATGTGATTTGGAGCATTCTGTGTGCGCCATCGACCAGGTCAGGCATCCAGGAAGGTAAGCATCCCAAAACAAACCCCTATTCTGGTGAAAATGTTGCTACCGAAAGCCAAACAAGTGGATAGAACTCCCCTAAAAGAAACGAGTGAACGAGCATGACGTCACACGTCGTCACGCCACTGTCTGCGCAGCTCTCTCCTTCCAGGTGGGGAAAGGGGGGAGCCCCAGACACCCGCGCCGGCTATCCACCCTTCAGTTCTGAGGCTGGATGTCAAAACACGCAAAAAAAATGCCAACCAGAGGGAGGGAGGGATGCCGGGGAGCCTCCGGGGTCTCACCCAGAAAATGGCATTTCAAAACATTCAATGCTGGTTTTCTGGGGGCTCCCCAGAGCTAACTATCCACAGAGGAAAAATTAGAGGGACTTACCTGGGAGGCGGTCACTGCCCACTTCTCAACTCGAAGTCGAGACAACTGGCTGCAACTGCCGACCCAACGCGACACAGGCCCGACTAGGCCCAGGAATGTTCACGAGATACCGAGCAGCCAGGACCTTGTTACACCACCAAAAACCCCGGGCCCGAATGTCAGACCAGGACATGTTGCCAAGCACGACAGCATGAGCATCGAACTTGCAAACTTCATGGGCACTGGAAGAGACTGCAGGGTGGCTAGACTTAATAACCCTGCAGATGACCTGGAAGACCCGCACCCACGAACAGGGAAGAAGGAACACCGGATGAACCCAAAGCGCGTCCCCAGACACAGAAGCCATGGCGCACAAATAACAGCAGACGGCCGCAACCGGACACAAGACGTGACGCACCCCCCCCCTCCGGTCTAACCAACCAAGCATCAACAACACAAAGACCCCTCCGGAAAGCAGCAGTCTCATTCTTGGCCAGAAAAGGAGACGGCTGCAGACGAATAAACCTATCTCCACGACTGAAGGAGCAGAAACCCCTGCGCTGGAGGAGAGCATGAAGCTCATCGACCTGACCCCCAGAGGCTAATGCCAACAGGAAAAGAGCCTTCGAGAAACAATCCTGAACTGAAGGGGCCACAATAAACCAAGGAGAAAAGAGAAAAGAGAGCACAATGTCCAAAGACCAGGACGACTCAGGCAGCGCATGAGCAGGCCGGAGGTAAAACAATGCATGGGACAGCTTGCGAAACGGTGCATCAACCAATCCCTCAAACAAATCTTTTTTTAGACAATGCTGAAAGTAATAGATATAAACACTGGGCAATGTATTAAAAGTAATAGATATAAACACTGGGCAATGTATTTATTTGATATATAACAAAATAGAGCATAACAACATACTTACTCATTATTATTTGTGTGATTATGTATTACTCAGCAATGCTATAAAGCCACCAGCTGCATATCCATTTTGTGAACACTTCTTACTACTATTATTCTTTGTGCATTGGATAGATGCTTGCATCTCTATTACAGCATTATCTGTCAGTTCCAGTAAATAGGAGCTGTTCTCCTTATCAACAAAACTTTCTTCTTTTTAAAAAATTTGTCTAAAATCAATTTCTGAAAGTATTTTGATGAAAGTTC